CCAAAACATGAGGGTAAGGTGTAGGGGCTCTTCACCCATGGAAGTGTCCCTACTGTGAGATGAATGAGGAGATAAATCCTATCCAGGCCACCCATCCTGCTGACATGGGTAGACTTACACCTGGCACAAGGCAAGTGGATACCATCACCCCAAGGCAGGACCTCACATACCCAGCGGATGCCCCTGGGTGTCATGCCCCAAAGTAGAACACCACTTCAACCAGAGAGAGCTTCCACACCAACAAAGTCTACTCTCTCCAGCCAATCTGTCTCCCTTGGATACTTTGCTTTCCTCCTATGGGACAAAAAGGGTTTGTCATCTTTGGGCTTTAAAAGACCTTCCCCATTTTTCATCCTCGAGACCCTACTGGATTGTGTGCTTCAGTGCGTTCCTTGCATGGCCACAGAACTTTTTCACTATGCTCTCTGATTTCTAATTGTTTTTATTTTTAATAAAATAGCTAACAAAGACTTCAAGAACACTGGGCTGTGGTAGGTAAATGTATATCTATTTCTTCCTCACAGTGAAAAATATGCAATATAAAATACAATCATCTGCTTATTTTCAAGAGACAACAAATAGTGGGTTTAAAGCCTTCTGTCCTCAGAATTTATTGAACAGGATCATGTATGTTCTTAGAGAGCTGCATATTAAAACAAATGCAAGCACACACATATTTTAATACCAGTAGAAGCATTTTTCCAACAAATTCTTATTAATCAAATCAATACCTAGAAGTTTCTCTGGTCAGAAAAGGAGAGGGAACCCAAAGGCCCATCCACTCTGTTTCTCTTTTCCTAATCAGGGAGTAAGTTATTTGCTGGAACCAGACTTCCAGGAAGCAAAGTAAGCAATCACTGACTCAGATCAACTAAAAAGTAATTTTACTACAAGAAAAAAGTAAATGTTTTACTCGCTTTAATATGTAAAATAGAAAAGCATAAATAGTTATCCTTACCTGCACACTTGTAACACTGATCAACAAAATCATGAGTAGATACACTCAGAACTCAACAAACATCATTGCTGTCATCATCATCATCACCATGAGCCAGTTAACCATGAGCCAGGGCTGAGTGATGCCCACAAGGCCAGTTTTGCTATTATCCACATTTTACATGCTAATGGATTTGGCCAATGTCTCATAGCTAGTGGATGGCAAGGTCCAAGACCCAGGCCTGCTGGACTCCAAAGACCAAGCAGGTTCTTAGCCACTGTGTTCCACTAATGTTCTTCTTTCTATACTTTTTCTGTATTTTCTGAATTTTCACTTGTATTTACCACTTCTATAATAATGATGTTTTAATTTAGGACCAAAAATAGGATAGGAGATAGTTGGTTCCTTAAGTCCAGGAAAAGCAGGCAAGGCAAGAATGCCCTAGGGGGTGGCTCATCCAGCCTGGGGTCACCATGGAGGTTAACAACAGGTATTCCTCTAAATGTCACAAAGGCAGGGCTCAAGAAAACATCATGCCATGAGAGTGTCTCAGCCAGGTCCATTCATGCTTCATCAGCGTCCTCCTTTCCTACTGATCAGAAACATTAAAAAGCTTAGTAGTCTTGATACAACCAAAGACTGTCATATAACCATACTAAGAATGAAGAGAAAGAGTGTAAGAGAGTGAAAATCCTCATCTACCAAAGTAGGCAGGCACAGACCATGTCTAAATTGTTGAATCAAGAGACAGCAGTATACGCACATTATTTAGAAATGTGAAATATATATATGTATTGTTGTTGTTGTTATGTGCCGTCGAGTCAAACCCGACTCATAGCGACCCCTCCTTGGGTTTCCGAGGCAGTATCACTATGGAAGTAGGATTGCCCAACCTTCCTTCCGAGGAGTGGCTGGTGCGTTTGAACCGCCAGCTGTCTGGTTAGCAGGCGTCTTAGCCACTATGCTACCAGAGCTCCCATATATGTATTAGGAGAAAGATATTTACTTGTGTTTTAATGACAATGCAAAGGCATTTGATTGTGTGGATCATAAAAAAATTATGGATTACATTGAGAAGAATGGGAATTCCAGAACACTTAATTGTAACTCATGAGGAACCTGTACACAGACCAGGAGGCTGTCATTCAACCAGAACAAGGGAACACTGCATAGTTTAAAATCAAGAAGAGAGTGAATCAGGGTTGTATAGCCTTTCCCCATACTTATTCAATCTATATATCAAGCAAATCCAAGAAGCTGGACTATATGAAGAACAACGTGGCATCAAGATTGGAGGAAGGATCATTAACAACCTGCAATATGCTGACAACACAACTTTGCTTGCTGAAAGTGAGGATGACTTGAGGCACTTACTGATGAACATTGAAGACTACAGTCTGCAGTATGGATTACATCTCAATATATGAAGAAAACAAAAATCCTCACAACTGGACCTATAAGCAGCATCA